TGACTGCCTGTGGTCCCCAGAGCACTAAAAGGTGAAATTGTCCTGGCTTCTTGGTTTTGAGCTACTGTTCACTAAATATGAGAGTTCATACATACAGTCCTTTCTAAAAATCTTGTCCTTGCCAGTGGTGAGGGTGTTTACCATGGGAGGATATTCTTTTGCCAGGGGAAAGGAGAAACTATTTGTGTTGTAAGTGAAGAAAATCCCACAAAACATCTTTTCTACTTAGGTGAAATTCTCACAGTGGAAGGATTTGGGAATGTTTGTGCTGATATATTTGGAGTTCAAACCATTAGCTTATCACTTGAAAGAAAATCCCATTGCTGCTCATAAGCAACTAATCAAAAGCCAAACACTTCCAGAAAAGAAGCATGAAGACAAATCTAAGGTAATGCTATGTTTAAACACATGCGGTAGGATTGAATGCATCACAGATGAAGCAATAGTGAATTGATCCATTGCATCTATGGAAAGATACCAATAAAACAAAATGTCACTATTCAAGTTTTAAATATTAGGAAACCACCCATTGTTGTCCCCGGTGGACTCCGTTTCACTACAGAGCCCTGCAGCAATTCAAAGCATACTTTCTCCCCCTTCTCCATTTCTGCCATAGCAAAAGTAGTCATGGTGTTCCCATTTGCTGTTTTCCTCTGGTTACTTGAGAGAGGTCTTTTGTACCCACTGCTAAAGGAAAGTTGTCCTAATGCTGATCCTGAACTAAACTCCACAGAGATGACAAACAGGTAGACACCTTTATGTGGAGCTTTAAAGTAGCCATGTTCAGGGAAATAGCTGTTTCCATAATTGAGGTAAGTTTCATTGAACTTCAGAGTTTTTTCTGTATCCTTTGCTTCTGAGAATCCCACGTGGAATGCCACCAATGAGTCTGTAAAAGAAAGAGGAACAGGATTTTAGCAGTGAACACTTCTTTCCCTGGGAGCAACAGTGGTGGGAGATAAGTTGAAGCCCTGTCAAGCCTGATCTCTGTATGCTGCTTTACAAAGCGAAATGTTTGAAGTGGCTATGTGCCTGGGATGAGATCAAATGGTTCCCTGGAAATACCTGAACCACTAGTCTTGGAAAAGTACAGGGCTGAGATCATCCAGGGTAGAGGGGAGGGGGGAAGCACTATATATATATATATAATATAATATATTTTTTTTTTTTTTTTTTTTTTGGACGTCCTAGAAGAGAGTGAGTTAGAAATACGTTCTCTGCTTATTCAGTCTCAGCTGCAGTTTTGGAGCACAGATGCCTAAAGGGGCTGATATTTGCTCTATGGTTTTATGTCCATAACAAGGGCTACAATTGTAAAAGCCAGTGCTAAGACTGGTGGTTGTAATTCCCAGGTGCTGATGGCCACATATTTACAGGGAAAGGGAACTGGCCAGAAGTATAAGCTGAAAACTTTTCTCTAAAGCTTAGCTGTAAGAGAGTGTGTTGTCTAGTCAGTCCTCCCTGTTCTACTTGTGCGAATTAATGTAATTGTCATCATTAGGAAGGTTTTAGCTTTTTGAGTACACTCCTTCCAGACTCAAATAACAGGAAAAAGAAGCAAGACTAGGAAGCCTAGCACTTCCCACCAGCTTCAAAAGAGAAAGCTGCTACTACATTAACATGAGCATCTACAAACAGACTTTGTGTTTTGAGCATCTAAAGTTGAATCAGTTCAAGGCCAGTTTCCCAGCAGCTATAATGGGTGTGATTTTATTGACCTCAAAGTGCAGCAGTGTATCAGCTTGGTTTTCGCTCAAGTGGCTTATTTTGATGGAGGGGAGGATGTCAATAATGTCAGAATTTCTCCCTCCAGCATCCCACAGGATATCTGTCAGGCCTTAAAACTAATAAGCTGTGTGTGTGGAGCCTGCAGCAAGGCCCAGAAAACAGCTAGACCTGCACATGAAGAGGTGAAAGAAAAGAGCCCACCTTTTCCCAAAAGTTCTGTCTGCACTGTATTTCTTCCAGTTATCATTTGTGCATTTTCTCTGTGTTTCTCAGGCTTTTTCTTGTCTCTTTGCTTGTCTTGACCTTTCTGTTGCTTTCTCACTCTTCTGGTCAGCATTGACTGAATCTTTGTAACATCCAGACTTATATTTGAGGCAACTAATTCTTCATCCCTTCCAAACAGCTTTTTAAAAATCAGCAGATGTTCCTCCAGCTTCTGCTTAGTGGTTGCTAAATCTGCTGAGAGGATTTCCACAGAAATGTTGAGTGGTTCAATTACATTAGTTATTGTATGATTGCAGCAGAGATTCATGTCACTTATGGATTCATGCCTCTTGATTGCCAGGCTCAGGTGTTTGATATCATTCTTCAGGGTCATGATATCATTATAAGCTGAGCCATCCAAGGAGTCGTCTTTGGCAGCCTCATAGTTAGGTTCCATATGTTCTAGGATGCTGTGATGACTACTAGCTTCATCTAGAGTAGGGGATGTTTGTGTTTCTTCTTTGGGATGCTTAGAAGGTGTATGGCCAGCATGATTATTCTGTTGACCTCTCTCCAAATGGTGAAGTCTCTTTATAAGTGATTCCAAAGTCACATTTTGTTCTTGGAGTTTACCTGAGATATGTCTGAGAGATTCTTGCAGCTGAAATACTGACGATATTAGGATACTAGGATCTTCTTCAAACAAGACTTCCATAAATTCTTCCCCCAGTAAACCCTCCAGTGCTGCTTCGTGCCTCATGGCATCTTCCAGAAGGGAGCCAAAAGAACTGTTGAGATACTTGATGTGCTGATGAATTTCTGCATCTTTTTTCTTCAAGAAGCCTATGTCTTCTGAAACAGCTGTAACTTGTGACTGAAGCTGTCTGTTTTCTTCTTGACGGAGATTAAGGGACTGATAGATAGATGGAAAAGCTGAGGAGAACTCCTCAATTTCATTCCTCAAGAGATCTCTGAACACTGACTCTAACTGCTTCATGTCCTTCAAGTTTGATTGGGTGCCTTCAAGGGAATAAGTGATATTATTTAAGTCTCCCTCCAGTATATCAGTGTCAGAAGATACTCTTTGGCAGTTACATTCTTCCATGTACCTCAGCAGATCTGAATAGTTTTCACGAAGATTTGAGAGAGTATAGTTGAGCTCTGATATCTGCCTTTCCATGGCTGCTTTGTTTTCTTCCATAATAACTGATTTCTCCGTTAAAGTTATTATAACATCTTCTGGTCTATACTTAGATATATTTTTTTTTAACTCCTTAAACCACCTCTCTAAAACTGCAATATTCTGAAAAGCCACATCTGACTCCATGTAAAGTTCTTTAAGCTGCTTTGCATGCCCTGTCAGGATCTCATTTATTTGTCTGATGCTTAACTGGGTATTTTCATCTTTGGGACCATGATGTGAGGAGAGTTCTGTTAAATTTTTTTTCAAAGTCTCAAATTTATTTTCAAGATTGCTTTGCTCTTGTTTCATGCTTTCCATGCTGTTGTTTAAAGCTAAGAAATGGGACTGCTGTGTCTTGTGAAATTTCTTGAGCTTTGTGTCCGTATCTGCCTTGATCATGGTGAGGTTATAGTGAATACTAGCCTGCTGCCTTTGCAAATGGCTCTCTATATCTCTTTTCACCTGATCAACTTTCACTACATTTTCTTGGACTTTTGATTCAAACTTAGTTCCCAGCTCCTGGAATTCCTTCTTGGGCACAGTGCTCTCTTGGAATCTTTCTATGCTTTGCTTGTTGGCTTCAACATCATGGGACAGGTTTCTGACCATGTTTGAGAGGTTCTGTAAGCTTCTGTTGAAGCTTGCCCACATTGGGTTAAAATGTTTCCTTAGAAAATTCTCCACATGGGGAAATATGACTTGCTGCAGGAGCCTTTCCTGTGGATCTGTTAACACAGGTTACAAAAAAAAAAAGAAATAGCAAAGTTTACATTCTGCTTTTGGAACACATCTTAATCTGACAAGGGTAACTCAGGTATGTGTTTTTCTATAGTAACTGGCATCTTGCTGACCAAATTCTGATAATTGCAAAAATAGCCTAATTCTAAATCAAGGTTACTGTGAAGACATGGAGTCTGCAGACAATACCTTAGGTACATATTGACTGCCCCATTTAAGTCATAAAAATACTGCATTTCAAACCCCCGGACAAGCAGTTTTGTAAGTGGTAGGCTCTTGCTTATTTGACTGCTTCATAATGTTGTGCTTTTTCTGATGCTTGCTGTAAGGTAGTGCTTCACAAAGTTATCTAGCATCTTAAGAGCTGAATATTCCAGATCAGGACTAAGTAACTTGAAAAATCTGTGAAGCATCTGTACTAGGTGTGAATTACAATAAGGCTGGATTTCTGACTTTAATGTTCAAACTTGAGTGCCTTGAAATTGACTGATGACAATAGTCTGCATCATTAGAAAATGTTTCTGCCAGCCAGTGGCTCATATTAGTAGGTCAAATTGGCTCTTTTTTCCCCACTCCGGTATACAGCGGGAATAAGGGTCCAGTGAAGGATTGAATGTTACATTTTTTTACATACACTAGTCTGATATTCCGCACAGCATGAGTATGAAAACAGAACAAAACCCAACTGTAAACTCTGTATCCCCCTGAAAGAAGCCACAGAAGCAGAACAGTAAGCTAGCTGATTTTAAGTATAAGCAATGTCTTTATTCTGTGGTTAAGGTGTATTCTGAAATCCAGGAAAGCGCAAACAAATCTGCCTTTCATTTCATTTCCCATTTCATTATCAAATTTATTTCATTCATTCATATGGGGATTGCACCTTTCCTTTTTTTCTTTTTCCTCTTTTTAGAAGCAACCAGCAGACCAAGGAATATCATAGGGTAGTTTGATTTTCAAGTTTTCTTTCCAATCTGTATGCCTTTGTAGGGCCTACTGGCAGGCTGCATCAGACCTCTCACCTGAATTGCTCTGGTTCACTTCTAACACCATGCTTGTACCGTTGTTTTCAAATATTCTCTGTAAATCACCTAAGTTGCTGACTGCTTGATGAATATCACTTTGAAGATCATCCAGTAAAGCCTCATGATTTTGAATGACTTCCAACATTTCTCTTGAATCCACTGATGTTGGCACTAATCACAAGATTAAAAAAACAAAGTCATGCAACCGAGTGCAGCGACCAGGCGACAGGATAGGTACTCCTACAAGACCTCTGAGAACACCCGTGTACTTTCTGCTCTGAAAACTTACACTGACCTTTAGGGGGTTGTTGATTTATAGCACTTTAACTCGTGATATCTTTGCAAAACTTTTTTTTCCCCAACAGGTGTGAAAACCTAATTTATTTAAATATCAGTGGGAGAACTTAAGCCACACTAGCCATGATGGCAGTAAAATGCTCTTCATTAAAAATCTCCCCATGCCATAAAAACGTGTGGAGTAATAACTCCTTTCAAGCGTTGACTGAAAGGAAAGCAAAGTTTAACAACCCAGGATAAAAGGAGAGGATGAAAGAGTAATTGAGGTGTTCCACTAAGGAATCAGAAGCATAGGGTATAAGTGTCATAGCTGACTCTTACTGAGGTGCCCTGTAACTGATATTATTTTAAATAAATAACTGCTAATTTAGATTTCAAAGTGTACACTGAGAATTGCAGAAAAATGGTATATTCCAGCTGTGCCAAACTGGGGGCAGCTTAACCACCATGGTTACCCATGACCTTTAATGTTTGTAACTTGTGTAAAGCAACTGCTCATTCACACAGTGCTGAGAGTGTAATGTACAGGAGTCTTTTTCAGAGCTGCAATGCTACCCTAAAGATAATTTGCTAGAAGATACTTAATAGCACTGCAAACCACACCATTTCCCAGACAGAAGGAAAGGTCCTTCTTGGATACTTAGATTGGTAGGAGTATTCCAATGCCTGGCATATGAATTGACAGTACCTTATAATAGTAATAATCTCAAAGCTCGCTCAAGTAGCATTTTGAATAGATTGTTGACCTGTTAGACCACAGAGCATGGCGTGCTTTCTTGTGAACCTGCTTCACAGAGCAAGGGGTTAAACATCCATGCCATTAGAAGGTTTCACGCTCTATACCAGCTGGCATTCTCACTAGGTATTATCAGTGATGAGCAGCCAGCATACAATGTTGAAACTTTTGGATGCTTTCTCAAGAGCATCCATGTAGTGTTACAGCAAAAGCTGTTATTTATGCCCAAAAATGTAGTTGTGTCAAAGCTTTCCCAAATAATGCTTTCATTAGAGATACTGTTCATAGTTTATCGTATTCAAATTGCAGATAAAAAATACATGTTTTCCTGATCAGTGACTGAGAGGTAAAAAAATGGCAAGCAAAATAACTTGAAGCACATACTGTGGTTTGGGAACTCCTCTTCTTGCTGTTCTTGAGTTTGATTTCCTGGCACCAGAATAAAATTAGGATCTGCAATTGAGATGGAATAAACCTGTGAAAATATTTTAGATGCAGAAACTACTACCGTTTAGCAAGGCAATGCAGGGCAATTTTATGTGTAGTGTAACTGATGTGGAGATAAGCTTCTGTGTTGCAGGTTTCTTAAGGAAAGAGCATCTTGTCTGGGGAGTTTACTTTGCTTGCAGTACACCACCAGCGTACAACATTGCATAAATGGTAATATGATGTAGTAGAGTAGGCCTGGTTTTTTTTTTAAACTCATGCCAAGTTATTGCTCCCAAGAAGTCTATGGAAAATAGGTGCTTTGCTTTTCCAGTTACCTGACCGTTCTAGTGGCACCAGCCACAGTGAGTGATGCTGAACAAATGAGGAGATAAAGATGGAGCAGCTGGTTTTGTTCAGTGAGTGTAACAAAGGAGAGACTAAACTGGAAGCATTGCGTTGGGTAATATTTTTCCAACTTCATAAATGGAGGTCAGGCTGGGGTCTGTACAAATAAAAGCTGTCTGTGAAGGAAAGCTAAACCTACAGAGATAAAAGCAGGCACTCCCATTTTATCTGTGGAGTTTGCAGGTGAATTAGACATAGATTGTGTGAAAACTTTCACACAGATGTTTGCCTTTTTTGTTATCGTTTCCTTAATTGCTGGAGGGAATTACTTTTAATCCCTTTAAATGCTCTTTCCATTTTTTGAGTATCATTTGCTAAATTCAGCCAATGCCGTGAAGCACTCCATTTTCCAAACCAAACTGTCTTGCTTCTCTTTTACTTAGCAGCTGCATACATCATTATTCAACAGTGCAAACAGTTGTAGTAATTTATTATGTAAAAGGGCTAGTGCTAGAGCTTCCATGGAAATAACGGCCTGGACTCTCTTCTTGTGTTGTAGAGCTGCTCCCCATCTTAGGAGCTCGTATCTGTGCAGCCAGGGTAAGCAGAAAGGAGGCAGCAAGGCAGGCTGGAGAGTGAGTGCTGCCTACCTTGTTTGAACTTGGATGCACTGTAGTTTCCCCAGCCAGATGACTTCATCCTGTAAACTGACCGTGGGGGTATTTCACATCCTAGAGTTGCTTTCTGATGTCACCAGTTTCTACCTGGAATTAGGGATTCCTAGATGGACTTGTACATCTGACAGGCACCCCTGCCCACCCCCCACAAATGAATACCTCTCTCTACGTGTAAAGATTACAAAGGTGGACTAAGAGAAGAGTAAATTGCTAATGCTATTAGCTTCTAATTGCAGCTAATTACAACTACTTGTTTCAAGGTATCAGTGATTTGGGGCAGAGCAGCCCAAAGAAAATAAGGCATTGATTCTCAAAAATACCCGAAAATCCAAAAACAAATAGCTAACATTTCTTGCCACTGTGACTCACATTTAGTCATTGCTTCTCACACTTGTTCTCTAGCTTTCCTTACCATGCTGTTCACACTCCTTGCCAATAAATCCAGGGCAGCATTTCCACTGCAAAGACTTCAAAACCTTCTGTTTCACTTGATAGACTGGCTTCAGAGCTGTCCTGTACCTGGGGATTAAGGGTCTGGGCATTAGATTGCAAGTAATTTTCAGCTAGCATCACTCAAGGTAAATTCACTGACTGTAGCAGCAGCCTGCTGCCAAGTGTGTCCTAGGTGACTAATGCAGAACAGAGTTAAGAAATTTGACATAAAATTTATCACTGCTGCTTAGGAAAACATTGGGGCAGTCCACAGCAATTTTTTTCCCCTACATAAGATTGTTTTTCAGGATTACAACAGGCAGTGTGTGCACATTCTTACTTGCACACATAATATAACTGCTATTCAGCAAACAGGGCTCCAGTGGTCTGCCTCGGGCTTTATTGTTCTTCAGCAGACATTTTTTTCCAAACGTGTTGGCACTGATCTGTCACAAGTCTGAAAAATGTCACAGATGGAAAAATTATGTAGCTATCAGGAAAGCAACTCTAATATTTATTGTGATAGTTTTGGACTGAGCTTGAACTTTTGTAATGTTCTGTTGAGTTGTAGAGAAAGTTTTCTTTTGAAACAAATATTCCAAAATGTCAGTGGTCCCAAGGAAGATAGATTTGTTATAAACTCAACTAGAAATAGTCATGAAACTTTCTTCTTTCATTCAGAGATAGAGAAATGAATTGTATTAAATAACAAAAGCGTTTTTGCAATCAAGTAACTATAAAGGCATGTAGGTGAGTATTAAATATTAGTTCATTTCAGAAGTATGTTGGAAGTCAATGTCTCTCAACTTTATAAATGTGCCAGTTCTGGTGCCTTATGGTACACTATGGGCCTTCAGCAGTACTCTTCTGGCAGCCAGTCCTGCTGAGAGAAGAGTAAGTACATGGGCAGTCATACATCTCTACCTCCTGTCATAAGTGGTCTCACTGGTGGCCCCAGGCAGAGACCTTTTTAAGGTGTGTCTGTGTATTATGACCTGAAAATCATGAAAAAGCTATGGTCTTTGTTTTTTTCTGAATAAACGTGGGAAGATTTGAAAATAATCACTTAATCACCTTTTAGTCCTGTACTTGGTGGCTTGCAAAGACAGTTGCTCTCCCTGGTTGCTTAAATGCCTGATCACCTTAGGTGCATAAACCATACCCTATGTCAGTTTGGTATTAAACTGAGTTGATGCATTAATTCTTTTTAAAATGTGTCATTTAATACTTTTGAAAATATTATCTAGATACTTCAGAGAAAATTCCATTTTTCTTCAGTGGTTTTATTTAGGATGCTTACATGATCTTCTGGCAGTCTGGTGCTCCATTTGGACAGGGCTGTTGGGAGTTGACAATGTACTTCTCCTTCATGCAGGCTTCTATGTATGTTACCAGCCGGGACTGCATGAAGGAACACCAGTTCCTAGTAGGAAAAAGACATGAGAAAGGAGTGTGAAGTAGGTCTTTCTAAGTCGCTTCTTGTAACTGTGCCAAGGAAGAATGGGATGAGGAAAGGCCTTCTATTTGTTTTATTATTATTTTTTTCAGCTGGATGATTAGGAAAGTGGAAAATGCTTGCTAGCTTCTCCCTCCACTCCCAGCTCATTTGTTTTCCCTTGGGATTTTTATCTGAGTTTGTTAAGAAGGGTTGATTGTTTGAACTTTGATGCATTAGTTCCATTTCCAGGCCTTTCATTTAGCAGGAGAAATTTCCAACTCATGATAACCTGCAGGTTAATGTCACTTTAAATGTCAAATTGGCTTTCTCGGTGTGTTGCCATTTCAGATGCCTAATGAGTGACTCATCAGGTTGAGGCAGACTGCTTCTGAAAACTTAATGCAACGTAAACTCCGTTAATAATCAGTGTCTTCCTAAATCTGAATTCTTCAAGGTAATATAGTAATTGATTGGATTTTTATTAATTAGACTAGCTTTGAAATAACTTCTGCCATAACCTGCAAGAAAATTATGTTGGAAAAATGAGAGGTGTTTTCTTGGGTGTTAGCTTTATACTTCTAACCAGGACAAGTGGGTTTTACCATCATGGTAAATTTTCCAAGTCAGAATTACGTAGGTGTCTATTAATCCCAGAGTGTAGGGGAGCCTCTTCCTTTTCAAGAGTTTAAAGTACATGTTAGTGTGTACTGTTGGTTGAAGTTTGATGGTTAAAATCCAGAGTCAGAAGTTACAGGAAGTGAGGAGTAATAACTATAATGGGAACAGCTGAACTTCAGGCAGTATATTTTTAAATGGGAATACAGGAACCAGATCTCTGATAATCAGCATATATGGAAAATTTTGCCCCTCAGAGAGTTGCAGAAACAATGGGGAACTGAGTCCCACACAAAAGCAGAAGCTGCAGTCCCAGCGGCCGAGTGGCCAGAAGAAGGGGAAGAAGCTGCAAGGATGCTGGAAACATCAGGAGTAAAGAGCAGACAGCTTGGGTGACCAGGGCCGTAGACAGCCTGTTTTGCTCCCCCGTTTTTTAAGGAGAATGTGATTGCGATTTCAGCAAATACTCACGCAAGCAAAACTCTCCACCTCTGAGAAGCAGGGACAGGAATCTGGCAAAAGCTGTGGTGCTGGGAAAGCTGAACAGGAAAGCAGGCTGCTGCAGCCTTTGTTGTGATTTTAAGCCAGAACTACGGCTTTTTTTGATGAGCTGTAGTTTTAAGGCCTTTGCAAGGGTCTGGGGGAATTTTTGTGCCTGTTATCAAGGGGAGTCTTGTTTCCTACGGGGCTGAACTCTTAGGAAATACTCTTATTTTTTATTAAATCATTACTCTTAAGGGGTCAAACACTCTGCTTGCATCACTGGGTGATTCACTTACAGCAAGCAGACCAACACACATGCTCTGGCTGACATCTGCCTGCCCACCAGCCTTTATAAGGCTGCATCACTTTTCAGTGGTTGGTGTAAAATGAATAACTCTGAATCAGAGGCCTGATTTGTGCTTCTATTTGGGCTCATGGGCTGAGCAAGCCATAGCTGGGAGTGGCTTTTCCCCCTCAAATCATCTCAGCTTTCTGGGGAAATAAAGGGTGCTGCTGCTGGAGGTCGCTAGCATTGTCACTAACTGCAGTATCTTGGGTCTGCCCCCGGGATGCCTGCCAGATCCAGGCAGGAGACTGCATTCAGTGTGGAAACCTCCTTTTAAAATAGGATTCTTTGGCTTTAGTGTTTTGTTCTTTCCAAATGAAAACAGTCCACGCCCCATGAATCATTATCTGGACTGATTTGTTTTTCCCACCATACAGAGTTCCCAAACAAGTCCTTTGAGTCATGCAAGCCATACAAATCTAAACAAAATGTTTACATGCATCAACACGTGTGTGAGCAAGAATATGGCATCATGTGACGGTGAGTACTTTCGCTGTATTGCACATGTAAATGTGCGCACACATTTAATAGAAAATACGAGGATTCCTTTTCAAAACCTATTAATGTGTTGGAGATACCTGGTGGGCTTCCCACTTGTAAGAAAGGGGTTATTTCAGAAATTGAATCAATGGTTGACCCCAACTTGATGCCTACTTTGGAAGTTATTAGCATTATGCAGAATGAATAGCATGAAAAAAGGGGAATTTGATGGCCACTCAATAAAATCTTCCTTTAACAGTGGCTGCATTTCTTCATCTCCATTTTGCTCACTATTTCTCTCTCACTTGATCTTTTAAAAGCTTATTTGTGCAGCTGAAGTGCTGTATAATTTCATACTTAGGTTTTAATCACAAAAACCTGTAGGGGTTTGAGTTCCATGATGCTTATAAAGATTTATTCTTTCATCAATTAAGTAAATAAGGGCTATCTTTCCCATCTGTAATGACCTGCAATATAGATACATGTGCCCAAAGATGAAACTTTTATTGCAGTATTTTTTGCACATCTTGTCAGTTGTTTCCTTTAAAGAAACTTCACTATCTGTAACTAAAAATATTCCTGAACTGTATGAACCTTGAGGAAAAATATATCCTTCTTTAATGTTAACTGAAACACTCTAAAAACTGAGAAAGCCTTGATCTAAAGTTCAGTGAGGTGAGCAGGAGCTCTTCTCTGGCACCAGTGGGCTCTGAACCAGGCTATGAAGTTACAAAGAGCTGCTCTTTAACAAATAGCACTTTATTCAGCTGGTTTCTGGAACACAGCAGCTTTGTGTTCTGCTTCTGTATTCTTTTCCCCCTCTTTGTAATTATGTCGTTTCATTCACTGAATATATAACCAACTTAACACACTCTGCTTTTATTCTCTCTAACACAGTTTCCTTTGGATTCAAGCTTCTGCTGCCAAGGAGAGAGAGGAGTAGAAAGAAATTGCTCGTGTGAGGAGATTTTGTGTGAGAGCAATTTCTTTCCAGTCTGGTGAATGGTAAAGTTTATCACAATACTGCAAGCTAGAGCAACCAACACTTGAGGGAACCCTAGCAAAATCAGGGCTACAGATGTTTCATTTGTTCAGTTGCTTTTCCTGTTTTATGTTCCAAGCAAATGAAAAAAGTATCTGAATAATTTTATTTGCTAGCCTACATGGAGTTTTTCCAAGGCTATATTCTAATAGAGTCCTCACATGCATCTATCCACTTCTGCCATATTTTGAAGCAAATGTATTCTTCTGTCTGAGGTTAAAACACATCCGATGACAAAGCACTCTGTATTTAAATAAGATTCAGCAAATTTATGTTAGCTCAAGCTCCTTTTGTTTGAACCTTTAAGATCTTTAAGCAAAAACCTCATAATTTATTTTTTTTTCTTATTTTGGAGAATACTTACGCTTTTACTAAAATGTAGCAAAATGCAGACAGTTCTATGTCTGATTCTAGGATTTAGCTAGACCACCTTATAGCAAACAAACCCACAGAATCGGGAGGTACAGCAAGATGGCTGATCTGCAGCAATTATTGCTCTGCTCAGATGAATATGAGACAGACTTTTTTTTTTACATATACTGCTACACTAACAGTTGCATCATGAGGGTGAATGTGAGTAATGCCCCCCAGCTCGGCTTAGGTACTTACATACTTTATTTTTCTTAGTTACATGTTCTCATAATTGACACTGCAGTGTATAATTTTAGACACTTCCTAGGTCAGTGGAATTCTTGCCTGAATAAAACCTTCAGGACATTGTTTTTCCATAAGCTTTGTTACTCCTTTGGCTGTACTAGTGCAACTGAGTTGTCCTTCACAACAGTTTCCTCATGTTTCTATTCTCAAGGAAACCAGTTTCTATAATTACTTTGAAAAGTCCTGTCCAGCCATTCCTGTGCATGTGCACCACTGGCCATGCAAAATTTTTCAGGTCCGTAGCACTTTTCCATACAGCACAAAAGGCACCAGATAAGCAATTAATTGCTGCTTAAACATGCTACAAGATGACAGTAGAGGACTCTGTTCTACTAATTTAAATGAGTGGTTTTCCATTGATCTGTACAGACTGACTCCTGATTTATATCAGTTGAAGCAGAAAAAAAAAGAATGAGGCTTTAAGTGAGGAATAATGTGTTCTGTTTTTCCCACCATACAAAATTCTCACTGATAAGAAAAAGCATCTTCAGTGGAACAGGTAGAATACTGCATATAAATTAATCTAAACCAGGATTGTGCATGTCAGTTTTAAAACAGTAGTATCTTTTTATTCATTGTGGAACGCAGGAGGTGTTCAGCTGTTGAAGAAGGTGCTGGCTCTCTCAGGGAACACAGTGTGCCATTGGGTTTTTAATTAGCAGACAGTGAGCGATTGCTGGTGGTCAGTCAGTGAATTCTCCAGCTCTTGCTAAGCAGCCAGCAGCCCTGTATTGCAGTTAAACAGCAGAAACTCTTGTATTTATCATATTTTTTTTCTTTCCCTTAGGGATGAGAAGAGCTCCTGCTCAGGCAGGGTCTGGGATCTTCCTGGGACGCATCTCCCAAACCGCCCTGCTTTTCACAGGGGTTTAACCAGACTGATTGTTTTGCACTTTACCTTGACAAGCTGGGCTGAAAAGAGTTCCAGTGGTAGTTTCAAATGTGGATTTCAATACAGTGCTGGAAGTCTTCCAGATCCTTGAGTAATGCTGGGTCAGTGCCACTTCTATTCCAACAATAGTGCCAGTTAGTCTGTTACCAGCTGGGACTTATCCTGCAGAATGTCCTAAAAACTTAGTGAAGCAAACCTTTCCGAAAACCCAGTCCTGAACCTGGATCCCCACTGGGAGCAGGAGCTCAAGGGAAAGCAGGCTTGGCTGGGACCTGGTTTTGGGCCAAATCCAACTGTTGTACCAGCTACTGCAGAGAAATAAATGCAAAGCAGTTTTTCCTCTTCACAAAGCATCCACAGCCATTACCTCATTTATATATTCCTCCTCATAACAGAAACTCTATAGACCTTTCAGAGGGAAGCTTATGCTTTGATTTAATCTTTTGCTTCCTGCAGACTTCAGTTCATCCCTAGTATAGTGCACCCACTCCTTTGTTGGACCTTGTCTTCAAGCAGGAATCACAGCCAGTGGCCACCTACTGTGCTGATGCCAGCAGGTTAAAAACAGCATGGGAACACAAGCTTCCCCGCCAGCATGCACTCAGGGTGCAGACAATGTGCACCAAGGTTTGCCCTGATTGTGTTTTGGGTGTGAATGTAGTTTTACTCGGGCTTAGTCACAGATCACTTATTCAAGAAGTATTGACTCACACAAGTAGGAAGGCATTGGATCCACGTGCTAATAATGCTGATCGTAGTTCTGTGGGTATGCTGAAACAAGATCCCTTGCTATATGGGGAAAGAATTAATTGCTGCAGTTTGCACTAATGAGCTGTAAAGTAATCCTTTGGGCCCAGAGGGTTCTATAATTCCTTTCAATGAAGCTGTGTGATTTGCATCAAACATACTAATAGAGAACCATTCTACCTGCAGCTGTGCAGCTCAACAAGAGTCAATATCAGTAAATTTCCTGAAGTCCTGAAAGCAGCTAAGTGTCTAACTTTGATTGGAAGCCATTGCTTCCATTAATGTGCTTGGTACTGCGAAAGCTATTGTTGAGCACGCAGTGGCCACTAGTTTGCAGGATGTCAGGGGCTGAAGATCACATTTAGCTGCATTTCATCCAAACCCGTTTTATTTTAAGCGTATGTTCTGCGCCCTTTTGAGTAATTTCAATATCCCATATGTTTCCTAAGAAAGTCTCTAGCTAGTTTTGAAGAATTAGATGAGTCAGTGTGAAACTGGCCTTAATTAAATCAATGGATATTTTCCTGTAAAAGTGGAGAAAAAAAAATAAGGTATTAAGACTGAACATTGTTCTGACTTCCTTAGAATAAGACTAATTTGGGTTTTCTCTGCTCGTTTACACTTCAGAGGTTAGTTGTTCTGTATTTTGACACCCTGAGTAATCACAAAAAGAGACCTGCTGCTTTGTGGCTGTGTCAGTTCCAAATGAGAGGAAGAAGTGTGTTTCAGTGAGATAACAGCACACCTGGCTGACATAGGAAGATCTTCTCTAATCAAGGGTGGCTTCCAGAATCGTATGTCCAAGTCTTAAAAGATGTTAATGCAATTAAGGGTTTACTTATACTGGAGATTTCTGCCTTTTCTATTTTACAGTTCAAGTGGTGGGATTTGGGAAGGGTTTGGGGTTTGTTTTTTCCATTTTGTTTTACAGACACATCATAATTGTAAGAAAAATCCCGATGCATGACAGAGTGTGTGTTTTTGGATTAAAGAGAAAGAAGGAAAACTAAACCACCTACCCAGCTGGAGGGCAAATCCAAAACAGGAATTACTCAGCAGTGATTACACTTTTCAAAAGACAGTGAAGTTCTGTGAAACTTTGTTAGAGATGGGGAAACAAGCCTTAGTTGCTCTGCTCCTTCCCATTTCATCAGCACAGTCCATTTCTCCCTTGCTGGGTGAGCCATCTGTTTGGGACCAGCTCTGTCAGTGTGGTTACTGAGGGGGGATGTTAAAAATAACCCCTGCTTTTTGCTAAGATTATTTTTAACGTGGAATGCTCAAGTGGTCTGGTTTACAGTGTTACTTGGCAGACAGGTCAAACCAACTGAGGTTATGGGAAGCTTTGGGCTTTGCTGTCAGAGTTAGCATATGATGGGATTGCGCCTTTTAGATTCTTCATTTGCCTTTCTTTTTTTTTTTTGTATGAAATACGAACACTGAGTGCATGCAATCTGATTTGTCAGCCTGGCTGTTCGTGGTGTTGGGGGCACATGGATTAGATTAAACTCTGCTCAGTGCTGAGAAATGGTACAAGCCTTAGGCTACAGTGCTCCACTAATGCTGTTTCAGTGCATCACCTGGTTTGAGAAATAATCTGTTTGTAGGGAGAGGAAACAGGCCCTTCTGAGTGTAATTATAGAAAAGGTCTTTCTGTGGATCTCGGATCAACAGAGGGAAGTTCCTAGGAAGGGTACAGAGAAGATGATGTGCTATTTCCAGCACCAAGGAAACTTTCCTTTCAAAGGCTGGATCACCATAATCTTGGCCCCCATACGGCTGCATGGAACTGTCTGGTTCTATCTGCCCATGTCTAAATTACACAGCCTAAGCAGCGGCACACAGCAGCTGTATGCTTACATGTATTCCTCCTTCAGCATCTGCTCAGCACCATGCCTTGCTCATGCATGTGTCATTACCAAGTATTTGATAGAAGCAGCTCTAAGGAAAAAAAAAATCTCCAAGGTGGGTTGTCAGTTTATGATGAAGCTATTTAGGTGTGTCATCCACATAGCATCAGTCAACATAGCAATAATGGTGTAATATCTCCTTGGCATATTTATTATCCCTTTCAATATGACTTAATCAGACAGCAGTTAAATCTGTTACCCCTAGTGGTAAGGATTGGAGTAGATGATGACCTAGTGCAAACTCTGATTTCATATTTACTGGGTCACTTTTAGAACTTCCATGTCCCAGGCAGCTTTTCAAGCCTCATTTTAGCAGCCTGTATCCACACGCAGGAAAGGCACCAATAACAACAGAGTTCCTATGATGTTCTGCGTTAGGAATCTGTTTTGTATGGGAAATGAAGACTAAAAATGTATTTATTATCTATTTTGGGTATTATGCATTGAGTATTTATGAAGCCCAGAACCAATTGTTACTGTTCTTACTCTTCCTCTTCCAATGCTAATATAGTCCAGCAATTACACAGTACAGATCTTTTCATATACTTGTGCTTTCATTTCCCTTTTTAATTCTTCTGAAAGTTTGGGTACACATGGATCCATTTATCTCAGCCATAGAATAAAACATCTGAAGTCAAACTGATCAGCTCATATGAGGCACAGCTGCTTGACAGCAAAGAAAAAAAAGATGATTTCCTTTGGAAAAATTGACCTCTTTTGATGGTTTTGATTTTGTAAATAAACAAATACTTGTGCATTCTGAATGTGCAGAGCTCCTTTTAGCTCAAATACAAGCAGCAGCTGAGATACTAAACCGTTACCTAGTTCTTCCTCTAAAGAACATTTGAAACAAAAGAATTATTATTCACACTTCTTTTTTTTCCTTTTAATAAAGTCACCCCAAGGCCAGTGATCTTACTGGTTTTCTTATTTTAAAACTCTTATTAAAATAATCTTGTTATTGTGAGATGAATTCATTACTAAAGTAACATATCCAGGCACTTCACTGGGATCTAATGAGTCATTTCACCTTACATGTTGAAACAGAAACCAGAGAATTCTAAGTACCTTGCATATATTATTCACAATGCCCTCAATTATTCAAATAACTGCAGTAAAAAAACATAATACTCTAAATGTAAAAACAAAAATCTAAGAATATTTTGTAACAATTATTCCTAATACATAGGGGAAATAGCAAGAGGTTGGAAAAAGCACATCCCATATAATTTTTGTTAGAAAATTATAGAAGTCTAAATTTTGTCTCAGAAACAAAGTTACCATTGACTTTGGTTTGGGGTTGGGTTTTTTTTTTTTTCCCTAGTTCTGAAAATAAAGTATTTTCTCATTTGAAAGACAAGCTAGAAGTGGGACAGCTTTTGCAGAAAACAATTTGCCACCACTTCAGGCTTTTTTATGGCATGTCTCTATTTCCTTCTAGCTCTTAAGTCCTGATTAACTCCTGATGCTTCTCTTCTTGCTCTCCTCTTTCAGAGATACAAGCCCAGTTCATTGATTATTTTTTATTTATTTTTTTTTCCAGGGCATGTGTCGCACTTGTGGAAGGAGGAAATACCGGATTCACACCAACTTCTTGTCTATGCTTAGCAGAGTGCTCCAGCCATGAGCACCTCACATGCACTTGAGGACTTCAGGCTCTGAAAGTAGCTTGCTTCAACCAATTGCAACGCCTTTTAGAATCCAGAGTGCAGTTACAAGGGGAGCTGTGCTGTCTCTTTTTATTAAGTTATTATTTATTTTTTATGAAGCTACTGCCAGGCAAGATTTTGACTGCCTGTAGTCATCAGCATAGCTTTATAATTGGGAAGAACATTACACTTTGACTCATTATGAAACTATTTCCATAAAAGGAGGAAGTATTTCTTGGGAGGAAATTAGGATGAGTAATAGCTGGTGCTGAGATGGATTAAACAAGCTGGTGCTGAACAAGTTTACGTAGCAAAGAAAGAAATCCCTATTAGGACAATCTGTTGCAGCATCTTGCTGACCTGTACAGGCACCTTTTTACACCATTGAATTTTCATAGTACTTATAGTTTTCAGAATGCTTTCACCGTTTCAACCAGCAAATGATTACCACCTTGCAGTGTAACATGGGAGTCCAGAGTACCACTTAGGCTTTGTTTTCATTCCTCTGACAGTTTCTGAAATGCATTAACCAAGAGTTGGTGAATTAACAGTGCATATCATTATCGAGCACTACCCATTAGGAAGCTGGAAGCCAACACTCACAGGCTTTAGAAAATGACTTACGGTTGATGGTGAGCAGTACAGATTTGTGGGAAGATGTAGTATGAAGGACATCAGGGTTTTAACACACTCACCATGCTATATGCAGGAGGGAGGCCTCAATTTTACATGTAGATGAGATTAGAAACAAGATTGTATACTTTGGTTTGCATGAAAGGGAAGCATAACATGAGCAAGGTTTTACAGGCTCTTCACATCTCCCCTTTTATTTCTTCTCAAGAGCATTTAAAGCAAAAAATACCAGGGCGTGCTAAAGTGCTGACCTGTGAACAGTACTCACTGTGCTGCTCTTTCAGCTCTCCCAAATAGGGCTATAAAAGATTCATTCACTGTCCTGCTTGGTTTTCATCTGTTTTAAACATTTAGAGACCTACTTACATGCCCTGTAAAACTTAAAAAATCGGAGTGTTTGTAAACCTTACTAGTGAAGTAGATGACTTTCCCACTCAGGATGGCTACTTGTTGGCCATACATTACTCTGGGAAGCATTTCACTACCATGAAAACCTTTAGGTGGGGGAGGTTGGATTTGTAGTATTTTTCATGCTTATTTATTATTCCTTACTTTGTTATATTTACCCTTCACTGTTTTTATTTTGCTAATATCCTGCCATTCTCTTTTCTTCTCCATTACCAAGGCCCAAGTCTACCGCCAAGCATGTTCCAATGATGGGCAGAGATTGCTGTGATCAGCAAAAATAATCATCATTAGTTTGTGATGAGGAAAAGTCAGTAAATCAATTACTTCTAGTTTTACGTTGCCAGAAATAGCAAGTTGGTTTTATGGTGCTACAACAGAAACAGGAGGCTTCACATCGGCCAGGTGTGTCCAGACCCGTAACCCCATTCTGCTGTTGTTTTGGACTAGGCAAAAAGCTGGTCCCATCTGTGGTATCATCCTCTCAGGCAGTTCAGCTTTTGGTTTCAGTTAAAACATTTACACTCCTATTTGAGTTAGACTGATCCCTAAAATCTAACATATTTTAATGAGAAACTTCTATTGAAAATGGTCCTTTATCAGCAGCATATATACAGTATTAGACAGGATTGCGCTATTATTATGTGGAAGACAGACACATATTGGGGTACTCACCCATTTCGGGACTGTGGGCTCACAGCTTCCAAGTCCTCTCTCTCTTCCTGATGTGAGGAGATCACACTTGACGAGTAATCTTGAGCATCCTCCCTGAGCCCTTCTGCTTCCCAGTAACCTTCTTCCTCCTGTGACAGAGGAGTCCTTTGGGGGTATGCAGAGGTCTCATGAATTTGTGGCTGTGAGCTGTGCACTGAACCATCATGATACCCATGATGGTCTGAGTGCTTGACCAGCTTTGCCAATCCTATTGTATTACAGAGGATCAGAAGCTTCACTAGCATGGTGGGATTTTTCCCACCTGGTTACACCTGTCTCTTGTTCTCTTCTCTGAAGCTCAGCTGGGATTAACTCAGGAATGCCCCAGCAATATTCTTTAACTGGAAAGTTGGAAGAAGGAAGGGAAAAAAAAAATAGTAACAAAGGGCGGAAAAAGCTTTTGACCCTCCCAGCTACTGTGGAAACGTCCGTGGCTATTGAACAATGTGAGTCTGGTTCCTGTGTGGGGCTCAAGCGTCTCTGACAGA